TCGATTGATGTAATATTCGATTACTGATTTTATGTACTTGATATATACTTCTTTTTTCAGTATATATGGGATATGTAATTCTTCAAATTCTATTAATCTAATGTGAGATTTATTCTTTTTAGTTGAATTCTTGCACTGTTCATTTTTCTTTTGTTTCTCTCTACGTTGGAGAAAAAAAGAGAAAAGAATCATGCACAAAAAATTCAGCTAAAAAAAAAATAGGTCTTTAGTATTCTACTTTATGAACACTTTCTACATAATAATAGTAGATAATGCGACCTTCACTACGAAATCTTATCATATTCTGTAGTACAAGTAAAAGTCACGACTTTAATAACAATTGATTTTAATTCAAAATAAATAATTTTTATAAAAACAAAGAGAATTTATCGTAAACATGGATCGACAAAATGATAAAATTAATTGCTTTTTTCTATTAAAATACTTTTTCTATTAAAATTTCTATTAAATTGCAAAATTATATTTCCCGGATATTAAAATTATTTTAATTACGATTTTCAGATTTAACAAATGAAATTGAATAAAAAAAGAAGATAAATCCTTTCATGTTATCTAAATCACTTAAAATGCATAAATTCTTTTGTGCCAGTTTAATTTTTTATTTAATTTAGTAAAAATTTATTTGGAAAACAAATGAATTAGATTTGTTAACTAGTATTACAAGATGTTATAGAGATATACATTTTAAGACTGATAAGAACATACACATAGATATGCCTTTCCCGTTAGATAGTAAATGCGTTGTATCTTCTACCGTTTATTATGTCAAATGTATACGACACGTTCGAAATGACGTATAAGAAATGATGACAATTTCAAATAAGTACATATCACGTATTGACATACGATATTTAACTGACAGGTTATAATTGAATTGAAGTCTTGCAAAAATGATACATGTGATGTATATTGCAGTTATGTGATGTATTGTGTATTGGAACAAGAATGGCAATATTTCTTTTCATTTGTTAGCATTTAATGAACTGAAGGATGTTTTAAAATATAATAAAATTAATAATAATTGAATTATACATATTTATATAATATCACGCCCAAGTTTGCGCAATGATCTCATTCTCATAAAAGGATAGAAGATATACTCTCTATTAACTCGATCTCCGGATTATAGGCATAAGGCGTATCCATGTTTATAAGCTCTATGGATAAGAATTAGACATTAATTTAAAAAAATAATTATCGTGAAGATAGAGAGAGAGAGAGAGAGAGAGAGAGAGAGAGAGAAAGTAACGTGTCCCAGATCTACTGAAATAAATTTAAAAAATGAGAAAATATATTTTGTATATAGAAGACGGAATAGATACAATTTTTAATTTCATTTTATTTATTTCCAAGACATTGATTTAAAGAACATTATTTTATTTTTTACTTTTAATAAATGATATTTAAAAAAAAGTAAATTCGAGTTAGATGCAGAAGGCGATGCAAATAAAAATATAAAGAAATTAGATCAAAATCAATACATTACAAAGATTTCAGCAAATTTTTGGGTCATTTTTAGGCACACAAATACAACAGAGTCACAACTATAAAACAAAATTAATAGTAATTAAAAAGAGAGTAATTGAAAAAAATGAATCATTTTGTAATCAATTATTGTAACGCTGCTTTATTTGGCCTCTGTCTTTTTCCTTTTAATTTTTTTATTTTCTTTTTGATTATTATTAATTTTTCAAATTATGGTTGTAACTCTGTTTTGTATTTGTATATCTGTTTAATCTGGAGTCATTAGAAACTTGATCGTTTTTTGACTGTGCAATCATAAAGTGACAACATTTTGCTTTGAAGTTTTTCATTTCTCCTTGGATTTATGAATTAATTTTTACATAATAATTTTGATGACTTTACATTGGAAGTGGCCCAAAAAATGTGCCGAAACATTTGTTATGTATTGACTTTGATTTAATTTCTTTATACATAATGTGACCAAAAAAGTTTCTGAACTGAGCTTATAAATAAAACAGAAAGCATCATATTAGGTGTTGGAATTAATTCGTAGCGTTTTTTAATGAAAGAATGTTATTTATTTCACATGAGCATTAAAAAATACATTAATGAAAGTACTTCCCATCACTTGTAAAACGCTACGAATTAATTCCAACACCTAATATAAATAAATTTTTTATTACCAATTATTCTACATACAATCCCTGTAAAGTTATACATCCAATCAATTTGACTCTATAGGGGAATGATTCACAAGAATTTGTTCCTTAAGGAACAAATAGTGAATGCAGCGATCTACGCAAATGAAGGATAGGGATTCGACGTTATCAAGAATATCTAGAACGTAAAGAGGGAATTATGAAACATTCCAGCAACGAATTTCTAGCGTATAGCTTTATAAGAATCGTATAGAATAATTAATGATAAAAATTTATTTATGATGCTCTATGTTTTATTTGTTAGCTCAGTCCTAAAAACTTTTTTGTCATACTGTGTACATATTTTCATTTGCGCACTATTTTTCGCGCTTGATTGGAATTTTACTTTTTTCAATATTATTTATTATTATTGAAGGTTTTTGTGTTAGTCCTTAGTGTTTTTTATTTCTTATTGAATTTATAGTTTTTATAGTTTTTATATAGTTCATTATTCTTCCAATCTAGGAATTTAATAAAAAATCGAGGAATTTTTTTTGGCGAAAATAATTTTTTCTATAATACGTCACATAAAAATTAATATCTCGAATTTGTAGAAAATAATTTCCGATATCTTTCGATGCATTCGATCGATTCGATGTATCCTTGCGATAACTCACGGATTTTATCGCCAAGTTTCTCATCGCCACAGTATATTTGCAAGAACACTTCATTCAAAGATATTACACATTTTCATACGTCGATGCGCTTTTCCGATACCGGTTCGAAGGCGAGTCCCTCGCAGGACTGAAGACAGTTTAAATTTTAAATCAAGCGTGACTTGTATCACGCGCACGCGAGAGTGTGGGCGAAATACTGTATACTATTAACAAGCGCACATCAAAGGATCGATGTAATTATCGATGGACTTGTACCGCGCGTATGGAGAGATTAAATGCAATTAAGCTTACCGCCAGTAGCCCATGAATCGTTCTATGCGGGAGCATATTATGCTGTCAATAAATACGGGAACGTATTTATTCTATTGAAAAGGTCAATAAATTTGTTTGAGACTTCTCTGCTGTAAGTTTGTTTGTAAGGAGAAAGATATTCGACAAATGACAGCTATTTAATTTGAGCGAATAAAAATATATTTTTATTAAACAGCAGTGTTTTTAATGAAACGCGAATGAAAAATTAAAAATATGAAAAATTTTATTAAGTTACAATAGTACGAATTTTAATTACATCGTACAAAAATACAATTGTACAAAATTTTTACAGAAATGTTTAAGACATTTAATTTAACTATAATGGTTCCATACTTTTCGATTATAATTGCATTTTAAATAACTGTGATGGAAATAATAATAATGTGTGTAATGTAATTATTTTAAATTCATTTTTTGCTCTGAACTCTATGATATTTAGAATTGCTTTTTTCCTGCACTAGACTGTACTATTATAAAATTTTCTTTTTCGCTTTTTTTCTTTCGCCAAATAACATATATTTATCTCACTTTAAGTTTCAAAAGTATATATTAGTTCAATCATAGAGAACAGATCTTTACATACCTATCTTCAAATTTTAAGCTATCTTTCAGTATTTTAAGTTTCATTTTAGAACATATATTTTAGATTTTATTGTCGCATAATAATTTATTCTTACATTCTTTATCTTGGAAAAGCTTCACTCACTGCTACAAATTTTCATGAAGGAGTCCATTGAATCCGCCCGAAGCAATGTAATAACATTTTAAGAGAAGCGTCAGATTTTTTTAAATGATTAATTACAATTAAGGTTTAATTATAATAAGATTAATTATACTTTGTACACGAAAGCTGCGCACAAAGTATCCTGTAAATTGGTAAATTCAGTTATATCTTCGACTAGAATTAAATCCACGTTTCTGTTAGAATGCATGACTGATCTCTTATCGTTTTACATAAACTCTAAATATATTTTAATAACATAATGCTCGCTAAAGGTTTATTGGCTGATTTTTGATCCAGGAATTTAATACAGAAATGGAATTAAGGATAGACCTTAAAAATCATTTGACAGGTCTTTTCAGAATTTTCGTGATGACGAAAAGCGTATCTGACGCTGGCGGATTGCAAATTTCTGTTTGCGCATAACAACGTAAAGGGATTAGGATAAATGGTTTTCTTCGCCTTTGTGTATGACGTCCTGCAATTATACAAGTTACAGTTCGCGTCGAATATGCACTTTTACGTGAAAGATTAGATGAAAATTGGAACCTGCAAATAAATTTGATACGCAACTACCGCGCTTAAGTTAAACAAAATGAACGAAACAATCGCAACAACGTTGGCACACAGTAACTATAATTTGCCTTGCACTTACTGTTAGTATGAAATTCTTAACCTAATCGAGATAATTGAATTCGCTATACGCTTAATTTAAAATAATCCGGGTTTGTATAAGAAAAAAGGAATGGTTTTACTTCGTAGTATAAAATGCACTAATTCTCAGCCATATAATTTAATGTGCTAACTTTAGAACTTATTAGTTTCATTAATTATATCATCTCATTACAGTATTTTGTGTTGCAAATTTGTTTTTACTTATCGATTATTCTCTGTATACGCGTTATATATTTTTAAAAATAGCATAAGTAATTCTCTCTGTTTTTCTCTTTGTCTCTTTATTAAATTAATTTTTTTCTTTATTTTTGTTTTTTACTACTATCTTATATTTTAATTGTAGCAATTGTATTGTTCTTTTTGTTTTGTAATAATATTTATCATTTATATGCTTCTAACGTTTAATAAATGCTGATTTCTTTCTCTTTTTCTCTCAACATATATATATATATGATGCGCAGATTAAAAAATAATAGAAATAATATATTTCAGTTTTATAGAAGAGCGTGACCATCACTACGGAAGTAGTAAAACACGACGGCTCCGTGACCACGTGAAGCGGCTGGACCTCTTGTGAGGGGGGGGTCAAGAACCGCGTGCGTACCCCTTAGAGCATTTCTTCTTGAACGATGATAGACCCAAGCTCATCCGAGGAGGAGAGTGAGGAGGATCAGAGCACACACCATGGCAGCGGTGGCGGTGGTAGTGGCGGCGGTCGTGCCGGGAGCAGTAGCTCTCACGGTTCCCGTCGTCATCCCGGAAGTATTGGAAACGGTCCAGGTTCCGGTAGCGTCGGTTCGCTCGCATCTAGCCTTACCGCCTCGCCTGGTGGTCCAAACCACGTAGGCGCTCCGAGCACCGCAAGTACCCATGGATCCGGAAGTCGTGCCACTGTGGGATCACAGGATACCACTGGGGCCGGTCTGGACGTGCCCAATCTCACCAGCGCCAGAAACTCTTTGTCGCCATCGATGAGCGCGGCTCAAGATGCCTCGAATTATGCTCAACGGCCCACTAGTCCGTCTCCTTCGGTGGCCAGCGAAAAGACAGAAGCGGAATTGCAAGTATGCGAGGGCAACGAATGTCTTTCTCTTCCTAATATTTTTTTACTTGCCGTATTTTTTAAGCCTTATCTACAATAGTTGCACAAGTTGTGTCGCATGTCGTGAATAGTAATGATATAGGAAAATTTGTTACGTGTTGCAAGAGTGTCGCTAGACATGAATATCTATAACAGTCGCAATAAAATTCATCATGAGCCAACTAACAATACTTGCAAATCGTCAATGATCGTCAGCAAACTTATGTCACCAAACTTGCTGTGCTGTGATTGGCTAAGTCACCGATGCACGGTGTGACAAGTGAACGATCTGAAGAGAAATAATTCTTATTTTGATCGTAATTGATTTTTTTTAAGTGAAATAATTGTCTAAATTATTTTTTAATAAATATATTTTAATACACGTTTAATTTTTCAAAATTTATAATAATTTATTTCATTAAAATATATTTAAGAATTTTAAATTAATACGTATAATTAACATAATCTTAATATCAACAAATTTTCAATGCATTTTAATCGTATTCGCCGTCTGTATCATTATCACGCTTAATAATAAATTATTATTAATACTCTTGAGGTTTCCACGGACACTTTCTATACAGAAATTATGCGTTCTGCAGATTATCTAAATTGTGTCTCTAAATTCATTCTTAGAATGTCAGCGAGGTCCAAAGCGCCTAGAAGTATTTGACTTTCTAAGCAGAAGGATGTAATGCAGATCTCGCTTCGCGTAGAAAGTCGTGTGTCTCTAAACAAAGAGAAAGGTAGGGTGGACCTCGCTATAGAAATAAATGATTAAAAAAATAGATAGATTATATATTTCCCCGATTGATTATCTGAGTTACATAAAAAATTGTTATTAACATTGCAGCTGAAAAATGTCGAAATTCGAAAAGGCTCTTATTATGCATAATTACCATTTCAGCTGCCATACATTATCTATTTCTTCAGAATTTTATGTTTATAACAAATGTTTAATTTTATTTCATTTAGATAAGGCAACATTCTTTGAAAGATTTGCAAGAACGTTCTCTCGCAATATATATACTTTTTTTATTTTAAATATTTTAAATTACTTTTATTTCTCGTGGTAACGGAAAAAAGTTCTTTGTTGTGCTTGAAGCCAACTCAAATAAGTATTCAAATATGTATTCTTTGATCACATTTTTTTTCCAACGATCACGCAATTTTGATATAAAACAATGTTGAAAATTTTAAACTTTTTTTATCTTTTTAGTCAGGATTTTCCAGATCAAAATGTGATATAAAAAAAAATAAAATTAAATAAAGCTTTATTACAAATTATAATTGTTATTTGCCCATGTTTCAAAAAGGAATCAATGCGAGATTTTAGCGTCTAAAAATATAATCTAACTTTAGTATCGGCAAATCAATGCAGTTAAGCTTTAGAGATAAGAATTAATATTAAATAATAATTCATGATTAATATTAATGTTGCAAAATTGATTTATTTCTCTTCAGGTTGATTTTTTTCACATTGTGCGACGAGATACTATTATCTCGGGTGACCAAACTCATGCGACACGCCTGTCGCAATCGCAGAAAATTGAAGTTGGCTTAACTCTCTACGACAAGAGCTCTTGCAACTGCAACAATTACTAGAAACTAGAGACTAGTACTAGAAACTTCTGCAACATTCTTAGAGTGCGTCCAGACTATCGAGCCGAACATCGAGCCGCGAGCCGAGCTTGCGTTCACAAAGATCTTACATCTACATTATCGAAATGAATATAAATTCACATCAAATCTTTGAATGTGAACGCAGGCTCGGTGTTCGACTCGATAATTTAGACGCACCGTTATATAACATGCGACACAACTTGATTGTTGCAGATGAGGATTTTGAGATGTTTGAAAAGCATAGTGAAATTTGTATGATATAAAATAAATAATGTGATAAAGAAAATATATAATGTGTCGGAGCACTTCTCTCCGTAGAAAAACTAATTAAATCTAATATTAGAAATAGTAAAATTCTTATTGCGAATGGTTGAAATAATTGTGAGAAATTTTTATTTAATCCAATTTCTTTCACGAAAATAAATTGGACGATAATTTTTCTAACAATACGCGTTATTTCGCTCCGGCGATACGAATTTTTTTGTCTTCCTCAGGATAAGCAAGAGAGGGAAGAAGAACAAAGGAAAACTCGGATTCAGCTTTATGTCTTCATATCTAGATGTATCGCTTATCCATTCAACGCCAAACAACCGATGGACATGACGCGAAGACCGATGAAAGTTACGAAGCAACAACTGGAAACTATATGTTCTCGTTTTCAGGTAAATATACAATAAAATATTTTGTATCTGTATTAAGGGGATCCTAAAGACGATTAGACATAATAAATAAGACACAGTAAGTAGGACTTACATATAAACGATTTACGTGTCATTGACACATTATTATATATTACTACATCAGTATGTCACACACACATACAATTTTCATATAACAATAACGTTTTAATTAGACGTTTAAATCCAATTTTAAGGACTCTGCTTAATTAAAATTTACTATAGAGAACTATAGAAAAAAGTTCTATAGTTTTTAATGAGCGTTTTGAATCGGTAAATCTCCATCCGTAGTGATTTTCTATGTGAAGTAACGTATAGTTTCCAATAGTTTCCAATAAGGATTTCACTTGCCTATTAACATCTAGATACTAAAATGCAAATATGATGTAAATATAAGAAATAAAGAATTAAATACTTTTTTCCTCATATTTATATCATATATTCATTATGTTTGAGATACGCCGAACATTTATATGCACATACATATTTCTGAAAATACACGGGATTTCTGCAGGATTCGAACCTAAGATCTATGGAATGGTAACTTTACACGCTAATTCTGAGCTATAATCGCATGTGTAAACAATTTAGAATTCGATTGTTAGTTAAATAACTTAGTCGATTTCTGTCACACCGACTTTAATGCAACGCTATGTATGTTAGTCGGTATTATTTTGAATCGTTGCCTCATCTCCGATTTTAATAAAATTAGGCTCATTCGACGTGTTTTCATTCAAAACGAAAGACTCTTGTCTGTACTTACTACGTGCGAAAAGTTAACTGTAAATAAGAACTGTGTAAATAAGAACAATTTGAATTTGGAAAAAACAAAATGACGAGATCGCTTCAACATTTGTAAAAATGGACGAAGACTATGCTTGTCTCTCCTGACAGTTTGCAAATAATTGTAAAAAGTGATAAAAAGTAAGTAAAAATAGGCACTGAATAAAAACACTTCACGTACTTTTTTTTGCTTCTGACATCACGATTCAGGAGCCTCTTAAACGGAGCCGTTACATGTATTTATAATTTTATGAAATAGGAGAAACCTTTGTGGTAAATAGCCATTTCTCGAAGCCTTATACAGAGTCTTATAGTTTAACCTTCACCTTTGTCGCTCTTAGATATATCGAAGCTGTACGATCGCATTAAATTATTGCCACTACAAATATAGACTGTCCCCGCTGTACCAACGCAATCGTATTTCACGTTTTGTAAAACTGCGTGAGATTTACATAACTATCTGCTTTTTTTCGTTATGAAATCATTTTGGATATTTTTCTGAATGAAATACCTCTCCGATTGAGTTAGAACTTTATAGATAATATTGTTACGATTTATAGTAATTATTTATGAAGATCCTATCGTCGGTCCAAAAATTTTTTGTGATTTGGATAATAGAAAATAAAAAGAGAAAAATTATGAAAATAATTTTGTGTGTGCATATTAATATTTTGCGTTGGAGTCTTTGCTAATCTTTTCAGTATCTATGATTTTAATATAGGTATGATAGATTCAATTATCGTAAATTCAAACGCTGAACAATATTATTACATTATCATTATGTTACAATGTATGATAAAATATTAAACTATTTTACTAGAAAAAGCATTTATACTTACAGACATATTTAACGTTTAAATCTTTCGCCTTACTAAATTAATCCATACTATATAGTAATAATACATAATAAATATTATGTATTTTGAAAAAACATTGGCAATGACCTCAATGCAAAGTAGGTACATATAATATTATATTTAACATTTAAATCTTTCTTATTAAATTAATGAGCCTGTCATATACTAGAATGACAGATTCTGAAAAGATTAGCAAGGACCACACCAAGATATCAAATGCACATATAAAATTATTTTCAGTCGTACTTTTTCTCTTTTATTTTTTATCATTTAAACTATAAAAAATCCGAAGATAAGATTTTCAATAAATAATCAATATATGTTGTAACAATATCACTTGTAAAGTTTCAGCTCGCAAGGGTGTCTCATTCGGAAGTACAATCGTTATTTTCTTATTTCTTATTTAAAATTTACAATATTATAATTAATATGTAGAAATATGACGAATCTAATATTAGAAAAAATGTTTGATATGTAGTTCTATTCAGCAAATTGCCTTAGATATCAATAAAAAGGAGGAGTAAGACGTAAATGTAGAATTAATATTTATGTTACAATTTATACGTGAAAAAAAGAATTTATAACGTACTCGATTTGCAGAGTTTTTTGAAGGGTGAAACGCAGATCATGGCCGACGAGGCATTCCATAATGCCATACAAAATTACTACGACGTGTTCCTCAAGTCAGACCGAGTGATACAAATGGTGCAGAGCGGTGGATGCTCCCAGAGCGACTTCCGTGAGGTATTCAAGAAGAACATTGAGAAGCGTGTTCGGAGCCTCCCGGAAATCGACGGACTGAGCAAAGAGACTGTGCTTACGTCTTGGTTGGCCAAATTTGATTGTATTTTGAAAGGTACTGGTGACGAAGATACTAAACGGCCTTCCAGGATGCAACAGCAGTCTTTGAACTCGGAGCTAATACTGTCAAAGGAGCAGCTGTACGACATGTTTCAACAGATACTCGGCATCAAGAAGTTCGAGCACCAGCTTCTGTTCAACGCCCTCCTGTTGGACTCAGCCGATGAACAGGCTGCCGCCATCAGGAGGGAGCTGGACGGTCGCGTACAGAAAGTCAACGAGATGGAGAAGGTACCGTGACAATCGCTTTTCCTTTTTCTCGTTTTTAAGCTTTTATTCTACTTTACTGCTGTTTTATTTTGGTCATGGAGATGTTCTTTCAATCTGCTGATATTCCTTCGATTGCTTCTACTTGTTCCCGAATAGAACACCGACATTCCTTCTTTATCCCTAGAATCGCAAGCTCTTGCCTAGATTTCTTCTGAAAGAGATGGAGTCGCTCTACATCGAGGAGCAGAAGGTGTCTATCAACCTGCTAATGACTAATTTGGAGTCGTTACCAGTCTCCAAAGGTTCGATAGACAGCAAATACGGGCTGCAGAAGCTGAAGCGCTACAACCATCGTGGTGAGCGCTCCCGCTGCCGCGGCCAGGGTTCCCTCGCTAAACTGGAGGGCGACTCCGCCGATTCCGATCCCCAGCTGACGAAAATGGACGTCGGCCTGACCTTCCAGCTGGAAGTAGTCGTAATGGAGGTCAAGGGCCTCAAAAGCCTAGCACCTGATAGAATAGTTTATTGCACTATGGAAGTGGAGGGCGGCGAGAAGCTGCAGACCGATCAGGCTGAGGCCTCCAAGCCTATGTGAGTAAAGAAAGATAATCGACGATCGGGGATCCCGATCGCGATATATCCATGGAAGGTCAGGACCGACCGCATCATTCTCGTCCATGGGTCCTATTTATAGGTGGGACACTCAGGGTGACTTTACGACAATGCACCCGCTGCCAGTGGTCAAGGTCAGATTGTACACCGAAAATCCAGCGATGCTTGCACTTGATGATAAGGAGCTAGGCAAGGTGATCTTACGGCCTACCCCACTGTCATGCAAAGTGCCCGAATGGCACCGCATGAATGTACCCAAGAACTGCGCCGATCAGGATCTACGTATGAAGATCGCCTGCCGTATGGACAAGCCGCTTAACATGAAGCACTGCGGCTACCTCTACGCGATGGGCAAGTCCGTGTGGAAAAAGTGGAAGAAGCGGTACTTTGTGTTGGTCCAGGTCTCGCAGTACACATTTGCGATGTGCTCGTACAAAGAAAAGAAAAGCGAGCCGTCGGAAATGATGCAGCTCGATGGCTATACAGTGGACTATATCGAGGCCGTTTCCGCTAATCTCATGGTCGGCATGGATTTGGAGGGAGGAAGGTAAATTTTTCTCCCTTGAAAAAAGGTTGAGAAATAAGGTAAACGTCCCAGTGACCGGACACGTACCTATGTCTGGATACTTACACAAAATTTATTATTATTAATCTCAAATACTTTTTTTATTACTGTATTATAATTTAATTGCACTTAAAGATTACAATTAAATTATAATATTACGTTTTTAAAAAGCGTATTTGAGACTAATACATATTAATATAAATACATAAAGTGTTGTGTAAATGTCCGAACATAGGTACATGTCCAGTCACTCTCCTTTCTCTCTCTCTCTCTCTCTCTCTCTCTCTCTCTCTCTTTCTCTCTCGCTCTCTTTCTCTCTCTCTGGAACCATACAGTACCTATATCCGGATAGTTACATAACTTTATTTATTTAAATTAATACTAGTCTCAAATGCTTTTTACCTTAAAGATCAATTTGAATTAATTGTCTTTTGTCATTAAATATTTATTTATATTTATATTTCCCGTCAGCATACTAATTTTCTAATTGTGATTGGACACTGAGACAATTATTCGGTGTCGGACCGGCTGTCCACTGGTACATTGATGTATTCTATTTATTTAAATATTTTAATTAATAATTGTTATAAATGGGTTCAAATAATTTTTCCTTGCTTAAGGGGTCTTGAGTTTTAAAATGAATACAAATATTTATATTAAAAACCTTCTATTACTTATGACAAGCTACGCTTAAATGTCCGGCTATTGGGACATTTATCTTACCTAATCCCCGCTGCAGCAGCTCGTAGTTGCACAGATTCATAAGATTGCCTGTTACAATCATTCGTCGACGTCTCAGACATTAATTAATTTTTATTTGTAGTAGTAAAGATTTAATTAAATTTGTTTTAATATTACAAAACCATGCTATTAGACGTTTTACATAATTCTATAATTAAATAAATTTTTATTTCTGTTAATTCTAGTTATTTTTAAGTTGATTTTGTAGCAAAAAATAGATTAGCATCTAATATTTTGAAAAGTAATTAGCTTTCGATTAGTCTGACACATTAAAATTTAATTTTTATACGTAAAAATGTTTAATGTGATCGATCTGGTAAACATTTTTCTCATGATTTCTCGACAAATGTTTCATAATTTCTCAGATAATATGTCATATTTATTCATAGAATGATAATTTTCTCATAGATACTCACCAAATGCAATGAGAATATATGATTTTTTCTATATATTTTGTTATTTGTAAAATTTTCTCCTTTCAAATATGTTGTATTTTTTTCATATTTTTTCATATAAAATATTTCATTTCTTATATCTTTTTTTCTCATATACCAATAATAATTTAATAATAATTTTTTTCTCAATTTTTTTGCCAGAAATTCATTCAAAACAAAATTTTAAAAAATGATATAAAACTTTTTTTAAATTTATTTATTTTTATCAAGAGTACCTAAACCTGAGATAATTTTTATTATATGTTAATTGCAATTCTTTATATTATATTATTCTTTATTTTAATTTGTTTACTTACCGGGTTTTGAATCTGCCCTATTGAAAAAAAATCACGTCACACAGTTGCATGGTGAAATCATGTGATTAAAACATGTAAAAAACGGAATCACGTAACGGATTGTTCCAAATCAGTACGTGATTTTTAAAATTATGTAATTTAAAAAATCATGTGATGATGTGTTCTTTTTTCTTCGATTTTTATCATTCAGTTTTTTAAAATTAAATAACTATAAAATCACATGCGATAGATGAAATTATTTCTATAAATATCATGTGATGTTTCAAATTACGTGATTTTTTTTTATCATACAACGTTGTGATATCATGAAATCACATAATTAAAACGTAATTTTTTTCAAAAGAGTGAGACCTCGATATTATAAGAACTGTATCTTATCCATTATGCCATTTGGAAGTATTTATGCACTCCTTTCTTATTATCTGTATATATTCTAGCCAAATTTTTCTCATAATGTCTCATAATGTCTCTGAAATGCATAATATCTCATATCAACAATCTGTAAGTAATTGTGTGAAATTATGGAAAATTTTTCACATTTTCTAATAATATTCTCATATTTTTTTTAATAATATAAAATCAGAAATTTTACAGTTTCTCAGAACGATCTCTTGGTAAAAGTTTACATTAGGAGAGCCTTCCTTCCCCAGTGACTTTGATCTTGAGTGACCTCCAACAGGTTTTAGCCGTCGCTCGTTATCCATTAAAAAATAATTAACAAAATAGTTTAAAAAATAACGTCTGTTTTAAAATAAATTTTTTACTTCAAAAACAAAATTTTTTTTTTAAACGTTTTCTAATATAATTTTTGTTTTGTAGGTGATGAAAGAACTAGGAAAACTTTTATTCTAGTTTTTAAAGCAGAGAATTTGTTTTTAAAGCAGAAAATTTACAATTTTGTAACGACTTCACACGAAACGAGATACACTTTACATGCCTTTCGCCTGAGAAATTTTGATATTTCTTGGATTGTTGGAAAAGAAATGAGGAAATATTTAAACATCTGAAAAATTTCTCATAATTTCTCATTGGATTATTCTGAGGAATTATGATATTTCTTATTTCTTGTCGTTGGAAAAATTATCAGAAAATTATTTAAAAATTTTAAAAATTTCCTATAATTTCACATAATTACTTACAAATTGTTGATAAGTGAAATTATGAAAAAAAAAAATTTTTATGAGAAATTATGAGTAAAATTTTTATCAGTGACAAGACGTATCACAATTGACGAGCAAGGGTTGTATATTCAATCGCCCAATTTGCAATCACGTGTCGCGTGTTCGACAGGTATTTCTTCAACGCAGTTCGTGAAGGAGATAATATAGTATATGCTTCGGATGACGAGAACGAATGTCATTTGTGGGTGATGGCAATGTATCGGGCGACTGGTCAGTCGCACAAGCCTACCCCGCCGGTCTCTGTAGTTGACAAAAATTCAACCATAAGTAAGATTCAAGGTGATGCCGACCGCGCGAAGAAGCACGGTATGGAAGACTATATCAGTGCAGATCCGTGCAAGTTTGACCATCCAGGATTATTCAAGTACTTGCAGAATTTGATGCTGGACTATAGGTTGAACGATCCTTATTGCTCGCTCGGCTGGTTCTCGCCCGGTCAAGTTTTTGTGTTGGATGAATACTGTGCCAGGTAATGACATTTATTCTTATCATTTTTTAAACAATTTAATCTATTTTTTGCAAAGTTATTTCATATCAGAGAGGAATATTATTCAATAACTATTTATTTAAATAACGAAAACATATAAAAAATAAAAATGCACTCATAACTCACCTTTTTATTTGAATAAAAATTTACTCAGTCAGCTACACACGAATGATGAATAAAAATGTGTGTTTGCTATTCGACTATTTGTGAATGATGAATATACATTTATTCATCATATGGCCATTCGTTAATGATGAATAAATATTTATTCACTTGTGAATAATGAATATATAGGGTGTTTTATAGTATGTGAGCACAACTTTAGGAATGAATACATGACACCAAAATAACACGTACAAAACATAATATTATAGTTCGTATAATTGAATTTATTTTCCGAGTCACAGACGTTTTCGTGTTTCATTAATCTTCATTACAAACTGAGCTAACATAGCTCCTTCGCGCATTTTTGTCTTACTAATTATAGTCATTAAGATATATGAAAACGTGTAAATACGTTACACTAACTCAGTTTGTGAAAATGAAAGGGCTTATTGTAACAGTGGATTATGTGTATAATTTTGTAAAAACAGAGTAAATGGACTAAAGTTAAAGTAATGGGAAATACAAATGATTTTAACTTCAAAATTTATTTACTCCGTTTTAACAAAATGTGGGCTGACTGTTGTAGTAAGTTCTTTAACTGACTCTTTGCAGACCGCTCTTTTTTATAGTCCTCTTTTTTTCTATTTTATAAACTGCTCGTTCAATTTTTTGTACTTGAAACTTGGTTTAACTTGGATTTATTTAGACCCATATAATGGATTATTAAGAAAAGATTAGAAAGTTGGAAAATATTAGTGCAATTATTTTTTCTTTTACCTTTGTTTGCAACATCGATTTCGACATCTGTTTTCTGGTATGGTAGGTACGGCGTGAGCGGATGCTTTCGGCATCTCTATTACCTTCATGATCTGTTGGACAGAATCGATCGCGGGCTTATGATAGATCCGACATTGATGCACTATAGTTTCGCTTTCTGTGCTAGTCATGTTTATGGTAATACAACATCTACCGATCGCGTGACCTCGATTACTCACGAGGAGAAAGATAAATTTCTGGAGATTAAGGAACGACTGCGACAGATTCTCGAAAACCAAATCACCAACTTTAGGTAAGCAATTCTAATCTCCTTTGAACTGTCAGCGATATAAAAAAATAACTTACAAACATTTTATTTATGCGTGAATATATTTAGTTTTTGCAAATTAATTTTTTATGACATCGCTCTTTTACTTCAAAAGTGACACAACTAAAAAAATTAAATAATTTTAAATGAAAATGGACCGATATGAGATTAAAAATACGTGAGAGAAAAAATTCCATATTCGGACTTTGAAACACAGCCTTAAACCGAAGCTGAAGTAATAACAAATTTATTGGCTCACAATTAACTTGAACTAGAAATTGTATAAATTCACAAGAAATATTAGGCACGAAGAATCGTTTTGACTGAATGTTTCACTTATATATTTAAAAATATTATATGTTTAAAAAATTTTTTAGAAAAAGAAAAATCATTTTTTAACTCGACAGAGAAAATTGTTGCCTAATCAATTAACATCGGTTAAAAAGAATATATTCTTAACATTAAATTTTTTTTTTTTAGTCTTCCAACGAGTACTTTCTATATAGAAGCTATATGTGTTTTACGAATTATCTCTATGTCCAAATCCATTATTAGAATGCCAATATAGACATTGTGTACTTTGATGGAAATTTTTTCTTGAATTATAATGAATAATGATAAAATATTGAATTTCATATTGAAATCTATATTAATTGACCCACTTTCAGTATTATTTTATTAAGATTTCATTACGATTCATTAAAATTTTATTAAGATTTTATTACAGTTTATTAAGATTTCATTGCAATTCATTAATATTTTATAAATAATTCAACACAAAATATTATGATATTTAGCTTCGCGATAAAATATACGATACATTTTTCAAAATAATTTCCTAAAAAGATTACTTTATTCGATTAAACTTCATCAAATATCCTTTCTCGCAATAGATACAGTTTTCCATTCGGACGTCCGGAAGGCTCGTTGAAAGCGGCTCTATCTCTTTTGGAACGCGTTCTTATGAAGGATAGCGTGACACCCGTGCCGCAGGAGGAAGTGAAGGCTCTCATAAAGAACTGCTTAGAAACGGCGGCATTGGTAAATTACACAAAATTATCCGCCGAAGCAAAGATCGAGGATGATCTTAGCGGCGAAGTGTGCGTGCCTCCTAGCAAGAAGCTAGAGGATCTCATACATCTCGCCGAACTGTGCGTCGACCTGCTCCAGCAAAATGAAGAACATTATTCGGAGGTATTAGTTGGGTTTTTAGAACTGAGTGTCGATTCTCGGGGCTCTCGAGAGAGAGGGTCAGCATGCCTTGAAACCCGGACTGTGGTAAGAGTCCGCCACCTCCTCAGAAGACAAACGCGCATTCGCTGCTCATTTCCTCTCACCGCCGTGGTAGATAATTGAATCGTGCAGACAATTTCATAGAGAGCTTCTATTATCACCTCGAAAGTCGCTTTCACGTAGAATAATCGTTGAATTGCGGACGTCGTGAGATATCCCATTGCAACTTTGCTGAGAGACGTTCACGCTCTTGTAGAAAGACAAAAGCAATACTTTACTTTTTTTAAGTTATGTTTTTCAAATTGCATACACACTATGTGTATACACAATATGTGTATCATGAAACATATTTCGTTAACCAGAAAATTTTCTAGTTAATTATCTACTAAAATAGTTGAGATAATCAGAATTGTAATTGATATAAAATTTTTTGGTTTGTCCATTTTCAACAAACTTCATTTTTTCAATGAAGGGAATTGAATAATTCACATTGCTGCGTTTATCCTGGCACTTCACATGCTGTTGCATTTAGTTTAACTTTCACTTTAGTTTCACTTTTACTTCTCCCATCAGATATCTTTCACAAAGAAATGTCTCATTCGATTGCAATATCTCTCTCAATGTTTTGTTCAAATCAATAATTACATCTTTTGGAATGTTAGATGCAGCAAACGCTTGTCATTACAACGCTTAGCATTACAAGTTGTACGATTATTCTCACGTACATTATGAAGTAGAAGTAGTGTCTTCTGGGTACTCGAGGGCCCTGTGCTCAGGGTGGCGTCCCCATCACCCCGAGCTAGAGGAAATATGCCCACCGTATATGTGCGATGTCCAATATTTTCACGATCCGCTCCTACTACACTGTACCGCAGGCGTTCGCCTGGTTTAGCGATCTTATGGTGGAGCATGCCGAGATTTTCTGGTCGTTATTTGCCGTCGACATGGATAAAGTACTGGCAGAGCAACCACCAGACACATGGGATAGCTTTCCACTGTTCCAGATAATGAACGATTATCTTAAGACTGACGGTGAGTTCAATTCTCATCCAAGATTATGACCAGGATTGGTAAAGACTAATGTTTTTTTAAGAATAAAACGTATTGTGTTTTTTCTTAAATATGTATTTAATGCTTCAAATATGCTTTAAACAGTACTATAAAAAAAAACATATTAAAAACATAAAAAATATGTTTTAATTTTTTACCTGATTATGACTAATAGGATTTAGCTTGATTATTTTTCTCTTATCTTAAATATCAGAAATGTGTTTTAAGATTAGATCTAAGGGTTCTATAGATGATCATAAAATTTGAACGTAGACAATTTGAAGAACGGAAGATTCCATCAGCATCTACGCGACACGTTCGCGCCATTGGTGGTACGTTACGTTGATCTTATGGAAACGTCGATCGCTCAATCGATTCATAAAGGCTTTGAGAAAGAACGATGGGAGATTAAGGGAAACGGTTGTGCCACATCGGAGGATCTCTTCTGGAAGTTAGATGCGTTGCAGTCATTCATCGGCGGATTACACTGGCCTGATCAAGAGTTCAGGCAACATCTTGAGCAGAGACTAAAACTGATGGCATGCGACATGGTAGAATCATGCATTCAGAGGACCGACGCGGCCTTCCAGCAGTGGCTTAAAAAAGGCGTGACTTTCATCTCTACAGATTATATCATACCGTCGGAAATGTGTGCTATGGTGAACGTTATTTTGGACGCCAAGAATCAGAGTTTTAAGCTTTGTACTGTCGATGGTGTCGATGTGGTAAGTTCATTCGGTAATTAATTTTTCGTAGAACTGTAAATGTAATACTTTTTCTTGTGAAATAATTTCAATGTAAATATATAATATAAAAAAATCCCTAAAAGTTTAATTTAATCAAGCTTAATTAATATTTCGCTTCGTATTCTCTTCGTATTGCATATTTAGTTAGTTACTTTATTTTTAAGATATATACTCTAATGTAAAAATTACTCGTAGAAAGTATTGCTAATACGGATATATATTACAGAAGAATTTAAAGAATATTATTGATGTTAATAAAAGAAAGTTAGTAAAACAATTTTTCTACATTAAATAGCAATAATATTGTTTAGCAAGTACCTATATTTTATATTGTTGTTATTAATATCCGTATAATTTCTAGCATCAATATCATTCCAAGATTGACGACATGATTGAAAAGACGTCAGCGGGAATGAATCAAGGAATGATTAACAAGCTCATAACGGTATTGGAAGCGACGCTCTCTAAGTTGTCTCGTTACGATGAGGGTTCCCTTATTGGCTCCATTCTTAGTCTTACGGTATTCGCTTCGCTCAATAATAATAAATAATGAGAAATTAAGTGGTCACGTGAACAACAATATACAGAGTGTATTAATAATTAACGATAAAACTCTCGCATAGAGACAAAATGGATTAAATTGAGAAGAAAAGTCCTCTATTTTTCACTAATTTATGAAAATAGTCAAATTCATCCGACCTATCGCCAAATACAAACGAACGACGATATAAGGCCAATCAGAAAAACGCACGTTAGAGTCCCTCTAGTAAGGAGTCAAGTCATAAGAAGTACCGATCTCTGATTAGTCAGATTTCGAGTCCCTTTAAACGCCGCCATTGTCAATGTGGTAGTGAATCTGTGAAGTTGGTGTGAGCAACTGCATAAATTTTGAATTTTTATAAATTAGTAACTCGTTAATCAATGCGAAAAATGCAAAATGATACAGAAATCTTCTACTCAGTTTAGTCCATTCTGCCCCTATGCGAGTTTTATTGTTAATTATCAGACACCCTGTATAAAAAATTATTGGAACATTTTTATCGGTGTCTTATGATTTGTTTTTTTAGAAGGTATCAGGAAGCGGGAAGGAAATGGGACAAGCTTATGTAAATTTTATGAGAAATTGCATAGATCAGATTCGCAGCAAAGTCCTTGACGAATTGTGGATTTTGACCTTTTTCGAGGTAAGAATCAGTCTATAAATAACACGCAAAGAAGTCTGTATGTAATTGTAATTGAAGGGTTTTTCATAAAAGTTACAAATAAGTCTAAAAAGTTAAATTTTTGAAAAACAAAAGATTTCTCATCTTAAAGGAATGCTGGAATGATGGTCCGACTTGATCAATGTCAATAGTACAGACATTTTTAATTTGGAATTAAAAATTGGCATAAAAACAGTAGATTTTGAATATTGCATGCTGGTATGATATATCATTAGAAACTAAACCAAAACTGAGCAACGTGATATCATTATATTATACTGACAAATATCGTCAAAAATTATAATTTACATAGCAAAAATCAAGCATACGCTGCTATTTCAAAAAATAAGCATAAACACGACAGAAATATGGAAATGTTATATCGGATGGTTTCATAAACTCAGTATTGTTCGTTCACGTAATTCGACGAGTAGTATGTCATTTTATCCATAAGAGTTATAGAACTTTGTATTAAAGAACTGTCTACGTCTGGTGACAACTTTACGAGTTAAAACATATAACTTTTTTTCAATTTTAAAAAGTATAAAGTTCACAGTCACACTTCCTAATTTTGCGTCTATTTCAATTTTGTAAAAGTATTTTTGATTCTGTTCAGATAATTCGGATATTTATATCAATTTGCGATGTCTCGACAATTTTGTCACTCCAGCATCGTGAAACCGTTAATGTATAAATATGATAGTTTTTCTCTAGATACATGAGTATAAAAAAATTGTGAACTTTAATTGATATTTTGAGGAATCATTTAAAGAAATAAAAATTCTAGACTTATTTATTTATTATGCTGAAATCTTTTCTTTATCATTTATTTATGTTTTACATTAATTTTTTTTATAATATTAATAACAAAAATGAAGAAAGAAGCATTATTTAAAATACAAAACAATAATTTTTTCACTATATTTATAAAATTTTAAAGTTACTCTTGAAAACAAAAACATCCTTTGTTAAACTCTTTTTTCCGTTTCCTGTTTGATGTTTGTCGAAATAAAATTGTTCACGAATGATATTACTGATAAAGAACTGATTTGATACCATATTTAGATATATAATTAGAGATAATTTAGATTTTTTGAAAAATAGACTTATTTAGTTTTTGTAAGAAATCCTTCAATTTTGCATTTAGAAAGAAATTGGAGCAGTTTTGACACATTCGTTGTTATTGAAGGAGATTTCGTCGAATTACTTTGATTTACATTGTAGCAATGGTACACGGCACAAATACAAATGCTATGTAATTGGTTGTCTGAAAGACTTGATCATAGCCTGCATTTGTATCAATGTACCTGCCTAGCTCATATCGTGAAGAAGATCTACTCGGACTTTGAGCTCCAGGGTGTCATGGAGGAAAAACTCAACACGAAGACATATCAGACTATAGACAAGAGGATGAAAACGGAAGAAGCAACTTGTGCCTTAACCATGAGCGCTCAGAACGAAGAGTAAGATCTTTTAATTTTTAATTAAATACATGACGAAGAGGTTGCGCAAATGGAGAATATTAAAAAATATATTTTGTGAAAATAGATAATTTTTTTCTATAATCATAAATTTTTATTTATCCTTCTAAAACATAAGTGTGTAAAAATTAGAATTTACAATTCTACTCTCATTGTCAGTTGCATTTAATTTTTGCTAATTAAAATGAAGAAATTTTTAATGAGCAGATGAAAGTATTTCGCTACAACTAGACAAGTTAATTGAGCTTTTCTTACATTGCAGAGGGCTTTCAGAGAATGGCAATGATGACGAGGTGGAGAGACCTAAGACAAAAGTGACGATCGTTGAGACGATAACGGAAGACGCGAATTACGTGGCCAATTTGAGCAACGTCACATCGAACGTTGTTGGCAAAGTCGGTAGTATGTTTGGCAAGGGCATCGGTGGTCTTTCTACAAAATTCGGCTCAGCTAGCAATTGGTTCTAGTTATTGTTTCTAGCACTCTGCCAGTAAACCTTACATTCGATTAGTACGCTCCTTTGTCTAAATAAGGGGATGTGAACAGGGAGGCTTTTAAAGGCGTAGACAGTACCCTATAGGCAGTATGATGATCTAGAATTTTGTCCATATAAACGAATGATACGATTAAACGATGCAATCGATCGGATCAGTTTGGCTTTTATCGTTAGCAGATTTCTCTTCGAGAGAGAGGGTTCCGGCCGTTCGCCGCGACGTTCAATGCGCGGAGCTACAAAATTACTTACTGACTAATCACGATCAAGAAACTAATTGTTAATATATTTACTTAGTCATAACTTTCGAATTTGAGATAACAATGCATATTAGACGTAACAACACGCGCGTTGAGAATTATGCCAACTCGTTGTGGGCTCGTTTTAATTAACCGATTATCATTTATGTTTAATCTCAGGTAATAGTGGAAATATAGTCGAAATATATTCGGAAAGGCTGATTGTACGGGAATACGTACGATATAGAGTATAAATGCGTAGATCTGATCATATTACAAAGGTATATGTATATAAACATACATGCATATATGCAACGTGTAATTATGAGGTATTCATATATTCTGTCGTGGTCTGCATGCGACAGGCTAACGTCGTTAATATATATTAGCTGAATTGTCAGAGCGCAGAATGCAGATTTTCCTATCTACTCTGTGTACGCGCGAATTATTTTTGCGGATTTAGTTATCGGTGGATAAGAATACGGGCATGTATTTCGCGTAGGCTGGAAAAAATTCTCGGGTCGATTGCAACGTTACTTGGATACGGATCGCGATAGTGGAAACGCGGAAAATCCCGGAATATAGAAATGAAAAAGCAGGGAAAGGAGAACCATGACTGACAAAGCTGCTTACCGAATTAATTTTGCAACCAACGGGGCAACGCTTTTTCAATATTAGATACGATCACTATTATCTGCTGGATGACTATTCGCTCGACTTGAACGAAAAATCTCTCATATAAAATCGATCTTTATCCCTCATATAAAATCGTACCAAAAGATACTTTTTTAAAAAATTCGATTTAAAAATTATTTTAATGTTTATTTTCGCGCGTAAAAATGTTTTGTTTTATTATCAGTAAATCAAAGTTTGATATAAATAAAGAAATATTTTAATCTCTTCTTACTAGTACTTTTTTATTACAATTTCTGTTTAATCTTAAAAGGCATGATATAGGCGATTTTCCTCTATATATTATTAATCATATTATTGTCAAACTTAAATTTCTTCAAATTTTCTTAAATGTAACATTACCCATTTGTTATTGAAAAAATTATAACGCGATCACAACATTACAAGTAATATATTACTTCCAATCTCTGTTTATATACATATAAGCATGCTAATTTATAGTCGAATGGTCACCATCAGAAGCAGTGACCGTAATAGCACGTTATTTTTCATCTATGTTATATTTATGCTAATTTACAGCTAACAATAAGTTACAATATGCATATAAATGTGTAGTCAATATCGATATGTATTAGCGTATCGTCCGCGGTCTATAATCGTGATTCTTTATTTGCAAGCAGAAAGTAAACGCAAGCAAGTGAGGAATTTTTGTAGCGAGAGTCGCACTCAGTTTATTAACAGATAACATTAAAATTCTTATTTATCCGACGGTAAGAGAAGAATTCTTTTTATATAAGAACTGTATGGAGACTATTAATATTCTGCAAAGTAAAATTCTTCAGTATGCACCAAATGCACATTATTATACGCATTTATTTGACATTTTTTTATTCTTAAGAGTAATTCTTAATACATGTGAAACTTTCTGAAATGGTCACAAATTTGGGAGCAATTCTGATCGTATTTACTACAAAAGTTTACTGTTGAAAGTTGCTATTGAGAGTGGCTCTTAGAATCGATAACAAGTTATTCGAATGAAATACTTTCAATCTACATTTTAATCGTGATGAAAGGAATATATCTTCTTTAAAGAGCTTTATTTTTTCTCGTTATTGTCGTCAATGACACGTCGATATTACTAATGTCCTGTGAGAAAACAAGTGTTATGTATGTTTATATTGCAAGAAAGCCTTGTCTCTCGATTACGAGATGCATATATATATTTTCCAAACCTCACGATATAACATTCATATATCAATGGATATTTGTATTCAGCTTGATATATGAACTCTTGAAAGTGCATCAAACGCGAAAGTATAATACCGAAGCAGGATGAAAAATGTACATCCCTGAAAAAATTCTTACTCTATCTTGAGTTGCAGCAATCTCTCTCCATTAAATTAGTTTGTACATTTTTGCTTTTCAACGCGTGAGACAAATCCTAATAAAACCAGAGAGAAACCTGACAGAAGATATGAGGGACCTATTTCCTGTAACCGCAAAATGCTCTCGCGCACTATTGTCCTCTGCAGAAGTGGAAACTACACAACAATATCCATTTTTTGAGGTGCTCCTGATGGAAATAAATCGCTGAAATTGTTGAAATTATTAAAATCGATCAAATTGAAAGAAATTTCACCACACAAAAAATGAATATTGTTGTAATTTACAATAATTCTACTTCACAGGACAGTACGCGGGAACATTTTGTGATTACAGGCCCTCACCTCTCTTAGGTTTCTCTCTGATCGTATTCATATCAAACTCTTTGAGCTTTCTCTGTCTACCTCAGATTCTAAGAAGCATTTACGCTATTTACGTAAAATAATTTTAGAACGATGAATTATAAGAAGCGAGAAAATGATATAATCAACTTAACAAAGTTGATTCACAACCGAAATTCATAAATTTTGGGATAAAATGTATAATTTTTTTTTCACAGATTAGATTCGAACAATTTACGTGATTTATATATACGCAGTGCCGAAACTACTATAGTGGCTTTAACATATATGAAAACAAGTCGAAAATCTAATATGTCGAACAGTTTCGGAGTTACGGGGTATTGAAGTAAAAGAATATATAATATAAATTGCTTGAAAAGTGTAACACTCTATATGTATACAGACACTACCTACAGGCTAAAAGTTTAAAAACATTTCTTAAAAAATTGACATTTTTTAAAATTTGACAACAATGTGTTTTTAAACAATATATATGCCAGGAAAAATAGTGTTTCATATATAAATATATATAAACATATATAATCATATAATCTAAAGATTTATACTGTTAAAAATGCTGTTACAGATATTTGAATAAATAATTAATCTCAAAATGTTAAATTTTTAAAGTGTTTCCAAATTTTTGGCTTGAAGTGTATATACATATTCATATATACATATAAAATTAAATTTAAGACAAACATAGATTATGCCAAATTGTTTATTTGGTATCGATTTTTCACTGTTTGGTTAGCAACGGACACGTTTTTCATCCTACTTCGACGAGTAAGGCAGTAAAAATTAAATGTACGAGGCGGAAGAGAAGAAACACTACAAAACGGTAGTTGCGCGAACGCGAGGCGAGGGATTTACCATTCGTTTGTATATACTTTAGCGATGGCGAGAAACGGGAAGTAGTAAATTTTTTATGGTACAAAATAACAAAGAGACAGCTCGCGCGAGAGTACAGCACGGAAATCCGACGGATTTAGCCTGGTTGATCTGGATTCTCATACGGACAACAACGCTTTGACATTGAACGCTGATTGGTGAAAAGTCGGTTGTGAGGGTAAAATTTACCCCCATCATCCGTTTTTCACGAATCAGCGTTCGGTGTTAAAGCTCTGTCGTCAGGATCCGGGCTAAGAGGATCGTTCTGTCACGCGCTTAATAACAAAAGCAAGAGATCGTATTCAAAAATATTCGCATGGCTTGCAAGTTGAAAACCTTGCCTGTTTTCAACGCGCAGCGAAAGAAAATTCTTAAGGACGATGTTATGCTTTTCATCGTCGACTTTCGAACTTGACAAAATATTTTTTGATGCATCGCATGTTTACAAAGTAGGGTGACGAAAAGCGAGCTCCCTTATATTCTCTCTCAATTATCTCTCTGTCCTTTCTCTCTCTCTCTCTCTCTCTCTCTCTCTCTCTCTCTCTCTCTTTCTCTCTAGTTTTCTCTTTTCTTCTTTTGCATTAGAATTTAACAAGTGCATGTTAGTTTGCTAAAGGATGAGATAATTGTACTCCGTATTAGAATTCTTTTAATCTATATACATAAAGGAAAGTCATGTAATATCGGCCAGCTTATATATAGGTATCGGCCAAAGCTGATTTCCATTTATCCCCTTTGATAATAGTGTCGCACGTACATGATAAGATGTGCCCTATTATTTTATATATTGACTACATACGTACAGACGTACAAACGTCCCAAACAGAAATGATAATGAAATCGACGTCGACTTCATTATTATGATGATTCCATTATTATTTCTGACTGGGATATAAGTATGTATGTACGTGATTTTTTGAATGTTACAATTTACAAGGAAAATATTATATATTTCATATGTGATACATATAATCTTAATAATTTACAATATAAAATTTTCTAAATTTTTTCTAAAATTTAAATGACTTGGCGCTGTATTATTAGTCATTTTTGCATAAAAATCTGTTGAATTTATAATGAACCGGTACTAAAACTGATTTTATATTAATTTAAACTTGATTTTGAATATCGAAAATTACAACATTTTATGTTTAATCGGAAAGGGACAGAGTATAAGAAAAAATAAGGATAGTTCTGAAGCACTTTTGCCCCAATCTTAAATTCTAATCTGTTCCTTTTTGCTAATTATTAATCTTTTATATCTTCCAATTTTTTTTTAGGTAAAATAATTTTCGTTCTTTTATCAAGTATAATTTGAATTACAAACAACTTTTTTTTTTAAAAAATAAATTTTTATTAAGTCTAGCCTAAGTTCTACAAAAACTTAGAGCGGCCGGTATTACACGACTTTCTCCTATTGTTACATATTTTCGATGAATGTTCCACCGAGGAAAGGAAAATGCGTACGGCGTTGGATGAAAGCTACATCTTTGCATTCAATTTTCGATTTGTGTTGATTAATTTGTGTTGATGTATTCTTTTTTAAATCGAGATACGCGAAATGCATCAGTGCTCGATGAAAATGCTTTTATCACGCTTCGGAATTTTTCCTTGTACTAAGCCAAAATTTACTGAATCAGTTTTTTTTTCAGACATAAATATGAAGAAATCCAAATTGAAAACAGATTATCAGTGTTAAGATATTTTTAGTTATTAAAAATTAACAAGATAACTTTTGATTATGTGGATAGGTAACACAACCTAATTTAATTTTGACTAAAGCTGATTTTATACTAATTTAAACTTGATTTTTAGTATTGAAGATTACAACATTTTATGTTTAATCGGAAACGGAAAGAGTATAAGAGAAAACAAGGATAGTTCAGAAGCACGATGAGCGCGTGATTAATAGTTGCTTGAATGTTTCGCCATTTTAACGTCACAGCGAAGCGCGACGTAATTGCATGATTTATTAGTGTGACGATATTAATATCGATTAAATAAACGCGGCCTTACACATACCGAAACATGATAATTGCCGTTGTAAATGTGACGAGATTTTACGAAAACGAACGCGTGCTAGGACTCGTTTTTAGTTTTAAAGAAGCAAAAGTAGGTGAAAAAGAACGAAATCGAAAAAAAAAAGAAACAAAGCGGGGAATTTGGAACGTTATCAAAAATAAAAGAAGCTAAACTATTATACTTATCGATACTAACGACGTTAGAATTATTATGATTATCATGGTTATTCTTATTATTGATAATTCTCCTATACTCTACGACTAATTAGATTAGGACAGTTACAAAAATGATCTCTCTCACTCTTTCTGTCTGTCTGTCTGTCTGTCTGTCTGTCTATCTTCTACCTATTTATCTACCAATTTTATCTCGATCTGTCCGTCTCTGTTGTTTATTCCGTCAATGGTGATACTTCAATCGAACTTCGATACGAACACTTTTGTCGCCAGCTCTCTTCACTTGTCTCTCTGCCTTTCTTTATTTCTCGTTCTTTGTTTCTTTCTTTTCTTTTTCCACCAGATTTTCTCTTTTTTGCTATTCCTTTCTCTTTCTCATTTCATTTTTTTTATTCCTTCCCACCTATCTTTTTATATTTTTACGTTGAAACTGTGACTTTACTTAAACCGAAGAGATGGTCTTTTTACTCTAATCAATGTTCTAGTCGATTTAACTTTTACTCAACTGTTGTTCTCTCGTTAATAAAAATTTCGACAAAAAAAGCAAAACAAGATACAGAAAAAAACATATATTCCGACAGTTTTTTTATTTCCTTCTCAATAATCGGCTCGATTGATCGGCATACTCTATCGGTATCATCCCGTCATGTGTTTTTCACGACGAAAAGAAAAGAGAAATCACTCGCTCTCATCGTTTGTCGCCTACATAATAAAGTCTAGAGTGGAAGGTAAACGTGGTATGAATGTGCGCATTTTCTGTAAATAATGGCATTACTTACATACGCATGTAACACGCGCCAGCATCCTCATCGAAGCATCGTCATTGTAAAAGAAAAGCAGCCAAAAGGAAAAGATCTTATAAGGAGAAGATGGATTTAGAAAAGATTCGATTTTGATTTAAATTCGAAATGTAAAGAGATGTGGAAAGAAATAGTAACAAGATTAACTCTCTTTTTCATCTTTTTTCCTTCTTCATTTCGGATTCAACAGCAATCGAATCTCCTTTAGTTCCATTTATTCTCACCCAGAGAAAAAAAGAAAAGAAAAGATTATTTAAAGAGAACACGAATTTCATTGTAAATAAGCAAAACAGCGCGATTTCAGATTTTTGTCATCATCTTGCCAGTTTTCGAACTCGCGAAGAAAGAGAAGAAAGAAAGAGGGGAAGATTGTTTGCTTAATCGGAAATAAAATGAACGATAACCAATGATAATCACCGCCTATCTCACTCTCTCTTTCTCACTCACACATTCTTTCTTTCTCTTCTCTTTCTCTCTTTTTCTCTTTCTTCCTTTCCCTCATTCACCCTCATTCATCGGAGCATTAATCGCATCTCTTTACTCGACTGCAAAGCGGAAACGACTGTGATCTAGATTAGTGTTACACATCGCATGAAGAAGAAGAAAAAGAAGAAAAAAAGAGAAAGAAACAAGAGGAAAAACAGTCGATCAGTGCTTAAATGCGACATCGACCATGATCATGACAATGTAGATTATGAATATCGATAACGATTAAGTATTTCTTATGGACTCACGTATATATATATATATATACATACAGAGTATCTGGTAAGTTTTAAGCGTTCGTGTAGATAGAGCGGACGAGGTAAAAAGTCTTTTACCATTTTGCAATTTTCGCAATATTTAACAAGATATTAATTACTAAAAATTGCCGAATATTGGTCTTTAATAATTTTTTATTCAAATGTTATCAACTACAGAAAAACAGCGAGAACTTTACAGAAAAACAAAAATTGTTTATTTTTTCTCATAGAGCTCTAAGAATTTTTTCAGAATTTTTGATCACTTTTTAGCATTGCATTTTCTTATTGGCAACTGTTTGTACCAACATGAGAAAATACGATATTTAAAAATTCTGAAAAAATTCTCAAAACTTTATGAGAAGAAAATAAACAATTTTTGTCTCTTTCTGTTTTTCTGTAAAGTTAATAATATGAATAAAAAATTATTGAAAACTTCAGTCAATATTCAGCGATTTTTAAAATAATTAATATCTTGTTAACTATTATAAAATGGTAGAAGACTTCGACTCAATTTAGTCTGATCTATCTACACACGAGCGCTTTGTCAAAACTTATCGGACATCCTGTATATATATCCATATTACGCCACGCAAATAGAGAGGCTATGCGAAAATCGTCGATTCATTCTTTTCTTTTTTCCTTTTATGGAGCATTTGTGTAAGTAATTTGCATGTGGAGCAAAAAAAAAATGCAAACGCATATATGTAACTGCAATTAATAAAGTATACCTTGTAAAATGTAAACATATCATGTAGCGTGTCATACTTTCGTACTCGTCGCGTTCGTTTGCTCGTTCAACTTTACATCGTTCAACATTCGCGCTTCATCATGCAGCACTTCATTCTGCGTGAAGCATCTGACATCCCGATATTATGGCAGTTATCTTAAATGCAATTAAGATCACCATATCAGAAAATATTGGTATAAAATAAAAATTAATATTCTCTTCAAAATACTTTTTTCAGAGAACGTTCCAGAGGTTTAATTATTTAAAATAAAGAACAGAAAAATATAAGAGTCGGTAAGCAAACAATAATTTTAGACTTACACGTTCGATATACGTAACGGAATTCTTATTTCGCAGAGAGATTTTGCATGTAAAATAATACCAATAATGTCCAATGATATTTTCTTCAATAAATAATGTTTTAACTTATTAAATGTGTGATTAATGTTTTGGAAGATCGCCGTAATAATTCTGAATTAATTTAGTTACAAATATAATTATCAATATTATCAATAAATAATAAACAAAAAGGAGCATCAACTAACGCAAGATCTTCTTTGCGAATACTTATGTTCCTTATATATCTAAAAAATAGAGATTAATTCAAATTATAAAATTTTTTTTTAGACATCTCGCTACAATGATTTTTGACAAGATTACGCTATCTTAAAATTTATCTCTTTCTGAGGGATAGAATAAATGAACTTTTGATAAATATTGACAAAAGAGGACCCAGCTTCAATAACTTTGACAACATACATCAAGATTAAAGTCTCTTTTGTCAATATTACCGAACTTTTAATTTTGTTCAGTAGTGTAGTTATTTTTTAAATCCAATTCCGTTAATTTCTACTTTACAATAAACTGTTATATACTTTCACAATTTTTACAGATCTTACTGTTCCTGTATGTACAAATTTTTCTATTAAATAATAATACATAATAATACTTCTTATCAATATTTCTTTCATTTTGTTTCCTATTCTAGCCGCAACATTATTGAGGGCGTTAGCCCTCACAATGAATTTTCTACCGACGGCTAATCTCCTGTAAGAATGTTCATGGTGAAATCAGATTCCACTATGAAAAGGCCGATCTTTAATAGTATCTCATCAGTGACTTAACCGGTTTAACACTTTTGAAGTAGAATCAGTCATTAGATACAAGACACATGATATATATATATATATATATATATATATATACAATTATATCTGTATTTGCGTTTAATTTCCTGTTGATGCCATTCTATTTACATATTGCGTATTAAGTACTATTCATATGGTTTACATTCCAATATGTTCGCTTTAGTAAAATTTGAAGACAGCATATATTATGTATGTCGGTCATCTAATATTACTGTAAATAAAGGCATTTACAAAGTGAAATATAGTAATAATTGTAAGTACTCAGTGGTCATTATAGCGAAAAATGGTAAGTTAAAATTTTTATTTCTATCTGTATATCTGTAATTTTATATACACACACATATATATATATATATATAATTTAGCTCAAAAATTAATAAAATTAAGGTTATTCAACGTATTTTTGCATAAACTAAAGAATCTGGCAGAAATAAGCGTCGCTCTGCCCTGAAAACAGAGATATTAATCGTTCAAATTGACAATTCAGGTTAGGAAATTTGTCACAGCACGCAACCTCTGTATCTCAAAAATTAATAAAATTAACTTATTCGACACGTTTTTGAAACGAAAGAATCTGGCAGAAAAATGTGTCATTTTGCCTCACAAATTGAGATGTTAATCGTTACAGTTTATGTCTGTTCAGGTTAGGAAATTTATCGATGGCATAGAGGAACATGAGAACATATAAGCAGAGGCTAGAATGGGCTAGAATAAAAATATCTTCTGCTTTAATTTCACAAATTTTTTTGATAATACAAATTATTTTTGATAATTGTTGAGTTTAGGGACTTCACCTCCGATCTTGATAAAATTAATTTCATTCGACGTGTTTTTGCATAAAATTACATAAAATAAACGAATCTGGCAAAAAAAGTGCTGTTCTGTCCCACGAATCGAGATATTAATTATTAAAGTTGACAAATATTTAGATTAGGAAATTTGTTATGTCAATGGCATTGAAGGTTACATAAATTCTCTGTTTTATAAACACAAATTCTCTACTTTAAAACAAAAATTCGTTGCTTTACAAACACAAATTGACATTTTAAAAAACAAATTCATTGCTTTATCTTTCCCCGAGGAGAGATAGGGTAAATCTTCCTTTGCATGGAAAGTAAAATAGTACTTAATATTATATATGTATAGCAGAAATGTGATATTTTTCGAACTTTTTGTATTAATAACTTTTTAACAGATGATGAGCTAAAACCTGTCAGAGGTTACTCAGGGTCATGACTTGACAACATGATGGGAGGGAACTTCCCTATTCGATATATTATAATAACCCAAATATATATCGTATTATATATAAATAGAATATATCGTATCTGTTCTAGATAATAAAAAAGTATTACAAGAGATATTAACAAATATAGAAAAATACAAACCATACATAAAGTGTGAAAGATTGAAAGTAGAAGAAAATGACCAAAAAAATAAAATACACTCCAAGATTACGCACAAACAAGGCTGCGATTACAAAATAAACGCAATGAAAACCGTAAACGAAACGAATGAAGATTATGATTTTTCTGTAAAGGAGGAAGATTCTGATTACCAAGAAAACATTGATATTCCCCAATTCTGCGATGAGCCCATTCGTAATTATGCTAATTATGAAATATGGTTTTATTGCAATGATTAAAATAAAATTAGGTAATTATTCGGATTGACGGACACCGCGTCAATGACCTTGACCTTGACATATGTTATCAAGGTCACGACTCTGAGTAACCTTCAGAAAGTTTCAGGTGGCGGTTATTGTTCGTTCAAAAGTTATTAACAAATAAAATTAAAAAATAACGTCTTATTTCTGCTATATACAATATTAAAAACTACTTTATTTCTTTTTGCATGAAAAGTTGTATGCCCATCAATATATAGCAGAAATAAGACATTTTTTTAAACTTTATTTGTTAATAATTTTTGAACAAATAGTGACTGCCACCTAAAACCTTTTGAAGGACAGAATCATGACCTTGATAACATATGTCAAGATCAAGGTCATCGGTATGGTGTCCGTCAATAATTATTTAAAATTAAATTTTCATTTTTACGTTAGATATGAGAGCAAGAGACATAAAACATGCATATGGAAACTATGAGGTTAATATAAATCAGCAAAACCATTACCAAGAAAATACTGATTCTTTATTTTATGGCAAGTCTTTTTTTTAATCTACTTTCATATACTAATTATTTGAAATATGCTTTCATTATAATTTCTTTAACCCCTTAAGAGGATGCTGGAGTGACATAATTTGCAGATCGATATAAATCTTCCTTTTAAACTTTTAAACTTTTTAGCTTCATGAACTCAGTATTTGTGCAGATAAAACGCTAGGTTCTGAACTCGTATTGTTCATACGAGCTATAAAAATTTCATATAAGGAAACATTCTCGTTTTTAAATAAAGAATTATTTATTAAGAATTAATTATTTATAGAAATATTAATTATCTTCAATAAATAAAACAAATTTTGGATCGAAAAAAAAACGAGCGTTAAGAGGTTAAAACCATGATTTTATTCATCTATTTTTAGATCTCATAGATATTGAGGATATTCCAATTAAGAAGGAACATGAAAACGATGATAATGTTACGAAAGAAATTGAAGACGATAATAATATTGTAGATGAACAAAACAATTATAAAAAAACTACGGATGTTATCATTTCTTGTGGCAAGTATAATTATAATTTCTTTACATTTAAATGACTGTGTGTTTACCTAAATATTTTATTAAGTGTTATTTCATACTACAAGTAATAATTTGTATCGATATCTATGATTTTTAATATTTACTTATTTTTAGGAAATAAAGTAGATATACTGTGCAATGATAATTTATTGTTTAATACTACGAATAAATGCACATATAGTAAGAATAAAGACGATAATCAAGGAATTGCTAATATACAAGTAAAAAAAATAATATCTAGTAAGTATAAAAATTTATTATATATTATCAATATTATATTGTTAAGCACATTATTATGATGTATAAATATATTGTTCAATTGTACAATTTGTTTTTCTATTACTACATGCACGAATTATGCATTGTTATAATTGTTAGACAGTTAATTAGATATAAAATGTTTTACTCTGTTTCTTAATGTTTTATCTATTTGTAGATATACCTAACAATCTTGAGTTAAAAAATGTGAGAATCTGTCTTAAGAGATTAAATTCTACTGGTACGTAGACATCTGAAAAGTAAAATTGCAAAGAAAAAATATTTGAAATCATTTTATTACTCAAAATATTAATTATATCTGTAATTATATGTATACAAAATGTTGACACTATTGAAAATATTCGTTACACTTATATGAAAATATTATGTAAATTATTTTATAGTTTATTTCTATTTATGTTTCATGATAGTTATTAATGGTGACAAAGAAAACATTGAGGACTCCGAATATTTATCTTCGAGAAATGAGCGAGGTTTATCAGATGAACCATTTCCAAAAAAGCACAAAGTAAATGTAACTACCACTAGATCATTCACTTCAGTTTTTAATAAGTTGCAAACAAATTCGTCTGGATGTAATGATGAAAATATGTATGTTGACAAGTCGAATACTAAATCTAAACAAAACTGCTGCATTTTTTGCATGAAATCACAATCAAAACTTGCGCGGCATTTAGAAAGCATGCATAGGGATGAACCAGAAGTAAAGAAATTTACTATTTTACCCAAAAGAAGTCTAGAAAGAAAGAAAATAATAGAGACTATGAGAAAAAATGGTAATTTCAAATATAATACAAATGCAGCAGTTAATAAAGGGGAACTTATTGTATGCAGACGTCCTAATGAAAAATCCAATAAAACCGCTACGGATTTTATTGCTTGTATGAAATGCAAAGGATTTTTTGCCAAAAGTTCAATACGTCATCATGCTCGAGAATGTTTTAAGCGAAATTTTAAAACGTCTAAAGGAATCATGATTATGGGAAGAAAAATTACCTGCAGGATACACAAATTAGCGAATGATACATTAAGAAACATAGTTTTCCCTGTATTACGAGAAGACGAAGTAACACGAGCAATAAGATATGATGAATTAATAATCTTATATGCAAATAAATTATGTGCTAAGTACAAGCCGCAACATCAACACAATATAATACGTGCCAAATTGCGACTTCTTGGTCGTTTACTCTTGACATTAAGAAAGATAAATAACGACATAGATGACTTTAAGTCGCTCTATTATCCCAAATTCTATGATAATTGTGTGTCTGCTATAAATATTGTTGCAAGATATAACGATAATGAAAAAATATATGAAACTCCAGCAGTAGCGATTAACTTGTCAATTTATATAAAAGACGTAGGAAATCTCTTAATTACAGAATGTATAAAACAAGAAGACACAGAAAGGAAAAAATTAATTGAAGATTTTTTAAAATTATTAACTGTTGATGGAAGGACAAGCATAAATACAATTATTGCAGAAACGCAATTAATTCATAAAAGACACACAAAGATACAACTCCCATCATTGGAAGATATTAAGACTTTATATAAACATTTGAAGAAAAAGAGAGTCGAAGCTTATATTGCATTAAAACAGTCTTTCTCCTTTAATAATTGGCTTTCTTTAGCAGAAGCAACATTAATTACAGTGCATATAATTAATAAACGGCAGGTAAATGAAATTGAGCGAATACTTATCAAAGATTTTCGAAATTATAAAAAGCTAGATAAAAATATGTACAGTAATATCTATAAATCATTATCAACGCAAAATAGAAAAATAGCAGAAAGATACATTCGATTTTATATTAGAGGAAAATTAGAGCGTAGAGTACCTATTTTATTGTCACATGATCTTTGTGAGTGTATTAATTTAATATTAAAATTTCGAGAAAAAGCGAAAATATCAAAGAAAAATCCGTATATCTTCGGATTGCCTGACATCGAGAAATGCAGGTATAAGTATCTTAGAATCTGTGCCTTAATGCGAAAATTCGCAATAAAGTGTAATGCAGTTCATCCTAATACTTTACGTAGTACAACATTAACGAAAAATATGTCCACATATTGTATCCAATTGAATGTAAGTGAAATTGATGCGTCTGATCTTAATATTGTCATGGGTCACGTGCATAAAATGGATACAAAACATAAACAATTACTGTCTATAAAAGATGTATTAAAGATTTCACAATATTTGGAAGCAGTTCAGGAAAATGATGAAAATTATAAGAAATTTGTATCTTCATCAAGTAATGAATCCGAAGAAAATGAATTTGTATCTTCATCAAGTAGTGAATCCGAAGAAAATGAATTAGAAATGAGAAATATCAATGATATCAATATAAAATGGAGAAGAAAGATTTAAGTATGCAAAAATTACGGTTTAATCCTAAAATGTGACATCAGTTGTAGACTATTACAAGCTAAACTATTATAAGCTAAAAAGCAAAGATATTTGCATAATTATTTTTCTTTATATATTCTAAGTAATAAATATATAATGTGAAGTATAAGACAACATTTTAATACTCAATCTAGTTCTCAGCAGTCAATGTATATGCTATGATAATTTAAAACAGAAATTGAATAAAAGTTGAAACGTTCCGCGTTTATCTTACATTTTATGTTGTACTTAGAAATACAGAATATGAAGAAAAATAATTATATGAATATGCATACTTTTTAGCTTGAATTAGCTTACGACAGACAGCATTATAGTTTTCTAAAAATATTTAATTTCCAATTTTTTATTTTTAATATTTAATTTTTAAATATATTATATTGTATTTTTTGTTCATAACCGTAATTTTAATGATATATAAGAATATGTATTTTATATTTTTTAGATAATAAACCTGACACATTATAAGGACAGGTAACATATGAAAATAAAAAAAAAACAAACGGAAACGTTCTAGTAAGTACTTTGCATTTTATTGAAGATGACGCTTGAATATTTAATTTCTTTAAATATTTTATTCTGAAAAATCTATGGCCGATATATAAATAAAAGATAGATTCTTATATTTAAGGTTACCTTGTGTACAGTCATCTTAATGATGTTATGAACAATCAGAAGACTATTATTTAAAACATTACTTAAGATGGTCTTAAAATAATCGACTATGAATACCGACTTATGATTCATTTCATACTTCAAAACTATTACTAATAATAATTTATATAAGTATATAAAATTTACGAATGTTTTTATTTTTACAATATTGATAATATTGAATATTTAATATATTGGGTCATCTAAAAAGTATCCGCGGTTTTTTGTCACTAGATGTGTGTTGATGGTCATATATCTAGTGACAAAGTACCGCGGATACTTTTTAGATGACCCAATACAATCAAGTTCTTTAACTTTTTTGTCGCTTTGATATACAAGTACATGTTCTTATAATTTATTATTACTATTACACAAATGTACATTACTACTATTTTACATGTGCATTATTTTTTAAATACTATTTTTTTACAGCATCTTATCATCTTGGGAAGACAAAAAGAATACGATGAAGTGAAAAAGATAAAAAAGCGAAACATTTGAAAAAAAAATATATGGAAACTATTTTGTCACTTCTATAGAAGTTTTAACCCTTACCGTACTATGTACATTTTGGTGTCTCATTCATGCTGTCAGGGGTCATCAGAATCTCTTCGGTTTTTCATCTCTTCAAAATAATTCAAAAAATCTCTAAAAATTTACCAACATTCAACTTTCTAGAATAAATATTGATACTTCATTTTGAAAAATAAAATATAGTATAATCTATAATTATCGAAAGACTCATAAGTTGGGAAAAAATGGCATTTGATTTAAAAAATTATAACTTCATAATAAATGAATATAAAAAAATGACTGCAGAGTTTTGTAATTTAGTCCTTAACTTTAGTTCTTAACTTGGCGGACGATTGCGGTACTTTATAAATCTAATGACTTTACTCTCAATGTTTCACATAACGCTTACAAAACGCTCATGAATATCGTTTGTCCTTGTTTAACATTTGATAAATGACAAGGAAATGATTCCACGTGCGTCGTGAACGTTAAAGCGTGGTTTACAATAAGATGCCAGCCAATCACCGTCGTCAGTCGCAATGTTTTACAACACAGAAGTGTTACTAATTACTATTGACATTTCTGATTGGCTGATGTGTTTGCAACTTATTGTAGACCACGCTTTAATGGAATGCAGCCTATATAGATAGTCAGCACGCGTCTATTCTGTGGATGTAGTACAGACACGAATCACATTCATTTTTGACGATTTTATTGACAGTGTGAGCTCTTGCATCTGATTGATGTATCCCATTAGATTTAAAAATATGGATTAAGCAATACAAGAGTTCACTGAGCGTTCAGTAAGCGATCGTGCTTCTGGATGCACCTATTGTCTGCGTTCAGCAAACTCAATTATTGAGTCCGCTGAACGTAGCCAATGGACGCGTTCCTATCTGTGGATCCAAAATCATATTTAATTGCTCAGCAAACAGATCTAGTCGCTTTGTCGATCCAGTTTTCTAGGCATCTATATGCCTTTGGTATAAATTGTTTATAGTGATATAATTTATTTATTATTAGACAAGGTAATTTATATAAATTAAAAGGCAGCATGTTATAATTGCAATAAAATATTTCTAAAAATATATTTGAAATTTATAATTATTAATTCAATATCTCTTGAGATGAGAGAATATAACATATCTAATTAATCTAACCTATCGCCGTTTTAAATATTATATCATATTATAGATATTAATTATCATAATTCTAAAACTAATTTCAGAATGAGTCGATAATTGAAAATCTTAAGCCTTAAATAGATAATCTAAATAGATAATTATGATTTTTCGCATTAACAAATTTGAATTTAGTCAGAATGTTCTGGCTATATAATCCCAGACAAAAGTTACTCAAATTTGAAATTGATGAAATTTTATACTTTTGTAAGTTAAAATATGCGCTATATCGTGTATATAACCTTAATACTGTCAGTTAATATGATATTTGGTATTATAAATGAATATATTTGTATCTTTGTAGTCGGTAAAAATTTTTTTTTAGACATGAATTTTCTTTAAAATCAACTGTAAGAAACGAAAGACGTGCCGCATATTAACATTTAATATATATTGGACATTACATGATACTTAAAAATCAAAAAGATATATAAACTAATCTTCGTACTATTGACACTTTTGAGTTGTCACATTTTGAGCAGTGGACTACATAACTTTGAAGTGAGGTTATGTGGTCCATTCGAAATTTTGTTTTATCGTTAATATCTTGATAACGGGTTAGTAAATCGATATGAATTTTTTTTAGAAACGTTGCTCAGTGTTTTATTTACTCACGAAGTTTCAGCATATTGGCAATGTTGCTGCTTTATAATTTTGTTGATATATGAGAATATGCTACTGCTTTGATGAAAATAAATTGCTAAAATCGCTGAAAATCGCTAAAATCTATCAATTAATTCATTTCAAAAATTTTCAGATATAGATTTACTGATATAGATTTTAGCAATTTATTTTCATCGGAGATAATCCATAAAAATTTGTACAAAATTAAATTGGATAACTCATGAACTAGATAGAAAATCGACTTCAGGTTTTATATATATCTTTGGATAAGAACCAATCATATATCTTTGGATAGAATTTATTAAATTTTTAATAGTGTATTGACAATAGAATTAGAACGTTAGCGACAGTATATCCTTAAGATAATCGATAATCTTAGTGTCGTACAAGTTAGCTGTTGGCCAAATTCATCGATTCCTCAATAAGATTTAGAATTACCGTTACTAATTCATTGTAAAATCAGCCTAATGATAATTTTTTGATCAATTTAAATAATAATAATTTTTAATAATAATTTAAAATATTTATATAGATGGCACTGAAAAATTTTCCTCGAGGAGGAAAAAAACCTGAAGTTAAAAGATTGGCAGATGTAAGTACATAATTTCAGTCTCTGTTTCTTTATTTCTGAATTAAATCTATTTTAATTTATACATTTTAATTTATATTTTAAAAATAAAAATTAAGAAAATGTTTTAATGTTTTATTTAACCTTCTGTAATATGGAATTTTAACTCTTCCATCAGCAATAAGGGTTTTCGATAAATAGGAAAAAAATTTTTTTACTGCTCTGGATTATGTAAAAATCTGAAAAAATATGATGTACCTATCAAAGTTTAAACAAGTTTTTACAATCGTAGAAGTCTAATTGTATGCTATTTAGATTTTGTAGATTTAAATTTATTTACCAGAATTCACAATCAAAATATTGATGATGCTTTTAAAGTAGAGTTGTGCTACATATTTCAAGATTACATTCACATAGAATGTTTATGTATTATTTATGTTAAGTTATATGAACTTTTTTCATATAGATAATATAAACAATATAAAATATGTAAATTATTGTAAATTGTTTAATATAACACAAAAAATATAATTAAATTTTATGACTGTTACCATATCTGACTTTAATATTGATAAATAAAAGTACATATATATATATGTATATATAAACAAAGTAGTTTTAATACAGTGGAATGATAAGGAATATAGACTTCGATGACCCATAGATTGTTTACATAAATAATACATAAAACATAATTTACATAATTTATATTAGATATACATAAGTTATTATATTTTAAGCATAAACATCATATTTTAAAAACCCCATGTTGTTTGTGGAGAGTTAGAATCTGTTAGAAAAAAGTTAGAATCTGTATTTTTATTAAATTAATATGTATATATCTGGATATATATTAATATTTTTTATATCAATATTTTGCTGACATAGTTTTATATACAAAAATTTAGCTGTACAATTATATAGATGCAATTGATAATAATACTTTGATTTTAGCCATTTAAGGAGAAGCTTAAACTCAAGAAACGTAAAACACAGACGAAGAAAGAAAATGACAACGAATTTGTAAAAGACATAAATTTTATTGCTACTACTGCAGATCGATTATCTAAAACCATGCTACATGAAGGACTGATACTTCTTGGCCGGGTTTCTGAAATATCGGAATATGATTTGATAGTGTCTCTGCCAGGTGGATTGTTAGGAAGAGTACAAGCTACAGATCTCAGTCAATCTTACACTAATTTGTTGCAAGATATAATTAATGCAAAAGTTGTTCAGTCGAATGAATTCAAACCTTTACCAGATTTGTTTAATCTTGGTGATTACGTAACATGTTACATAAAAAATATAAATTTTGAAGATAAATGGTCTTATAGTTTATCTATGGAACCGCAATTAATAAATCAGAATGTTCATGCTAGTTATTTTGTAAAAGATATGAAAGTGATTTGTACTGTTAAAAGTATAGAGGATCATGGTTACATAATTGACATAGGCGTAGCAAATGTTAGAGCATTTCTTTCTACTGAAGATATTGATAAAGGAAAACAATATTGTAAGTAACTAATTTTGTATAATGAATTAGTATCACATCCATTACAACATATTTTGTTAATATCAGAAATTATATAGTTCCAGGTACTCAATTTTTATGTGCCATCAAGGAAATAAAAACAGTAGATAATATGTCTGTTATCAAATTGTCAACTAAAAGAAAAAAGATTGACAGTGCTAATGTACACGACATAATGTCTTTAGATGTTTTAACACCAGGAACAAAATTATCGCTTTATGTAACAAAGGTGCTTTCTAATGGCCTGCAAGTTAGATTTGGGAAAAATAACGTTGGATATATAAATCGAATTTATTTAAATAATCCTTTATCCACATATGTAGATAATATGGAAGTGATTGGCACATTATTATATATATTACCAACTGTAAAATTAGCGTACTTTAGTCTGTTGACTGATATATCTGAAAAGGAAAAATTACCTGTAGGCAATATTATAAATAACGCCAGAGTTCTATACAGAGAATCTAGCGGGATAATCTTCAAATTATCTAAATCTGGACTACGTGGATATATTTCTTTGCGAAGAACCAATGTTCCATTTACTAAAATTCCAATCGAATTCAAAGAAAGTTCCACACATAAGTGTAGAGTACTCGCATATAACTGGATGGAACACTTTTATGTCTGTACAATGGAAGAAGAAATTTTGAAGCAAAAATATTTTTCAGCTTCTGATCTCAGTATTGGCGATATCCTTACTGTAACTATTGTACATATCGAAACATCTCGTAGCAACATACATGTACAAGCAGGAAAGATTTGCGGAATTGTTCCAATGGAACACATATCCGACAGCGGTTTAAGCGCTCTGCATAAATTGAAAGTCGGAGACAATGTCGAAGCAAGAGTCTTAGATAAAAATAAGATTAATCAAGTAAAATTCACGCTAAAACAGTCGCTAGTAAAGAGCAAATTGCCAGTTTTACATGATTTTGGCGAAGCTAAATGCGGATTAAAATATCATGGAACGATCGGTATAATAAATAAAAATGGTATGTTAGTAAGATTTTACGGAATAATAAAAGGATGGGTCCCACGGATCACATTAAATAGCGATACATATGATATGAATTGGAATTTT